CTGTCACCCAGGTTGGAGTGCAGTGACGCTATCTCGGCTCACTGCAAACTCCACCTCGCGGGTTCAAGTGATTCGCCTGCCTCAGCCTCCCAAATAGCTGGGATTATGGGTGCCCACCACCACACCTGGCTAATTTTTGTACTTTTAGTAGAATTGGGGTTTCACCATGTTGGCCAGGATGGTCTTGATCTCTTGACCTCGTGATCCACCTGCTTTGGCCTCCCAAAGTGCTGGGATTATAGGTGTGAGCCACCGTGCCCGGCCGATCCTGAAGTCTTTCTAAGTAGGTTTCTAAGTGGCTACACAGCGCTGCACCGGGTGGCTGTCTCAGAGTTCAGGCCTCCACTCACTACAGAGGTGGATGTTTAGTCTGTTGACCCTGTATGCAGCCCGAGGAGAAAGGGGGATCCCGATTATTTTAGATCCCCGTTGACTCTTATGATAGACGATGGGAGAAACACTGACCAACGCAGTGGAAATGCAACGAAAATGTCACAATGTGGGGAGCCCTTGGGATGAATGCCCTGCCTGGGCCCATTGCCCTCAGCCGAGGGCCTGGTAGCGCCTGCAGTGGGGAAGCGTCCCGAGGGGCTCACCCTGGGCAGGAGTGGGGCTGGGGGCAGCTGTGGCCCGGGAGGAGGCAGGAGCTTCCCCACTTGCTGTTAAGCCTCTTTCAAAGTAGATTTCCTGAAAACTGTCCAGCTCTCCAACCCGCCGTAAACGGACAGCCCGGGGCACACAGCCCTGGCCCTGTGGAGCACCTGTGCCAAGTGTGTGAGAAAAAGCTTAAGTTCCAATATAACAAATAACGTCTACATCACAGGTGTGGCAATCGATGGGAATAATGATGACGTCAAAGAAAGATACATTCAGCTGGTCAAGAAACGGGGCAAAGTCAAGGCTCTCGATGAAGAACTCTACAGTAAGTGGAGGGCCTCGGAGCGGGAGGAGCCAGTGCGGCACCGCCGCTTTCTAGGACTGGATTCCAACAGCGTCGGACACTGGAGATTTTCACTTGTCCCGGCTCAGATACACAGAAGGAGGGTTAAGCCCATGCTGTAAAACCGGGCTTCGCAGGGTGTGGGATGGTTTATTTTAGGTAGTGGCAGCACGGGGATAATTTTTTTAAGTGTTAATAGTTATATACAGTAGTTATTTTAATTCTGGCAAATGATACTGCTTTTCTGTTTAGGGTAGGGATATATCGTTTTCTTTTTAAAGCAAGTTTATTTCTGTGAAGAAAAGAGCTAAGCTACAGACAAGTAGTAAATAATCCTCAGCATGGGCGGTTTGTGGGCCTGCGTGGACTCCCGGGGTGGGAGCCGGGGCGGAGGTGCCGTCGGTGTGGGTGATGTGACTTGGTAATGACACCAGGTTACCCTCACAGTCCTGGGCCAAGACTTGTGGTTCAAGTGTGGCAAACTGATTTTCCTTTCATTTAGAACAAGACAGCATGGACTTAAAAGTGGAGTTTGAGACACACTTCGGCATTGCCCACACGCGCTGGGCCACCCACGGGGTCCCCAGTGCTGTCAATAGCCACCCCCAGCGCTCGGACAAAGGCAACGGTACGTGGCATGCTTTCCCGTTCCCACAGTTCCACCTCACCCTGAGCTGTGTCAGCGCCAGTGCCCGCCAAAGCAGGTTCCACACCCACCTCTGACTTCTCAGCCTGCTTCGTCTTCCCAAGAGAATGCGGATGACCCCTCTCCCAGAGATCCGCCAGTGGCCTGGACCTCAGTCAGGAGGCAGGCAGCCTGGTCCAGGGCGGTGCTGGCCTCCCAGGATTGCACAGGAAAACCGTGGCACTTAACCAGGAGAGCTGCTGGCTCCTTGGAACCCAGCCCATGAGTGGGACGAGGCCGCGTGAGGAACTGAGGGGTCTGGGCACTCTTCCTCCCCAAGCGACGGAAATGTTGCAGAAGGCTGTGCCCTTCAGGGAAGGATGGGTTCTGTCCTTATGCAGCTAAACCCATCTCTTCCCCGCGGAATGGTCCGGGTAAGGGCAGGGGCTGTGCTGGTCCTGATGGGTGCCTGATGCACAGTGGGCCCCAGCAGGAAACCTCAGCCCCAGGGGCTTAGGGTTTGGAGAAGTAGGGGCTGCAGCCGGAAGCCGAGGGCTCTTCCCAGGTGGAGAGCCCTCAACTCACCTTGATTCATGTTTTGTTTTTTTTTTTTGAGACGGAGTCTCGCTCTGTTGCCCAGGCTGGAGCACAGTGGCCGGATCTCGGCTCACTGCAAGCTCCGCCTCCCGGGTTCCCGCCATTCTCCTGCCTCAGCCTCCTGAGTAGCTGGGACTACAGGCGCCCGCCAC